AGGTAGCCTCTAGGAACCATGCTTTTGTGTTCACTTAAAGACTGTGGATACTAAGTCAGCTTTCTAGTAGGGTTCTCAGTGTAATCTTAAATTAATGGAAATAATATGAGGATTAAGAAATAAACCTTTCAGGGGCACCTGGGTGGCTCAGTTGGTTGGGTGTCTGTTTGCCTTCGGCTCGGGTTGTGATCCTAGCCAGGGTCCTGGGATCGAGCCCTGCGTTGGGCTCCCTGCTCCGCGGGAGGCCTGTTTTCCTTCTCACTCTCCCTCTGTGTGTGCTCTCTCTCTCTCAAATAAATAAATAAAATATTTTAAAAAAAAAGAAACCTTTCAGTCTTCTAGTAGGCTATCATTTAATCAGTGTTAAATCTCCCCCTTTGAAGTCTTAGAACTCTGAAAAGTTGTTTTGTGAATGTAGCCTCTCTGTTTACTTCAAGTCATTGTCTGGAGTTTTACAGATATTGGATATTTAAACTGCACTTAAGTATCCTATCTACCTACTTTGAACATCTTTAAGGCTGTATTCTGAGATTTAAAGCCTCATTCCATGCTATCAACCCCAGATTCCACACGATGTCATTAAAAGAACTTGGTTACTTGGGGCTGGGTGTAAAAATTCCTTCAGAAATATGTTTAATTATCCAGTCCTGATCCCTGTCTACTTTATTGTGCCAGTGGTAAGTATAGGGAGGAAGCCTGGTGCAGGGTATAATTTGCTGGACACTGAGCTTCTTTCTTCCAGATTTCCTCGGCCTGTGACTGTGGAGCCCATGGACCAGTTGGATGATGAAGAGGGACTTCCAGAGAAGCTGGTTATAAAGAACCAGCAATTTCACAAGTATGTGGTTCTGACAGATTCCCTGTTAGGTGCTTGTCTGTTCTTAAGGAAGCTTGTAAAGGGATGTGTAAAAGAGGCAGGTCTTTCCTATAGGTATTCACTGGCAGCCATGATCTTGGCCCTCAGGAGGAATGCAGTGCTTAGTTGGGGGAATCTTGGACAAAGTTTTAATAACCCAGGAACCTTGTCTATAGGGAGCGAGAGCAGCCACCCAGATTTGCACAGCCTGGCTCCTTTGAGTATGAGTATGCCATGCGCTGGAAGGCACTCATTGAGATGGAGAAGCAGCAGCAGGACCAAGTGGACCGCAACATCAAGGAAGCTCGTGAGAAGCTGGAGATGGAGATGGAGGCCGCTCGCCATGAGCACCAGGTCATGCTAATGAGACAGGGTGAGTGTAGACCTGTAGGTCTTAGACCTAGAACAAGAACAAAATGACTTTTTTTCAGGAATTTTTTGTATCAGTTGGTAGAGAAAAGCCTAAATCTCTGCTTTTATTCTCTGAAGTATTTTGTTGATCTTGGTAGGCAAATGAGCTTGGAGATGTGACAGAGAATACTGGATTCTGTGGAGAAGGAAATAATAGGTTTGACTTCATTTTTGGAATCTGGATAGCTCAGATGGCCATGCAGGGATTATATATCCCCTTTGCTTTCTGGATCTTTATGGAAAATTATTGAGTCTATATGAGGAGAATGAAAAATACTCTGAATCAGTCTACTGTTTTTGTAGATTTGATGAGGCGTCAAGAAGAACTTCGGAGGATGGAAGAGCTGCACAACCAAGAAGTGCAAAAACGAAAGCAACTGGAGCTCAGGTAACTAACTCCCAAACCCTTTTTCTCTGACAACTCTAAGAGGTAATGTCTCACTCCTATTTCCTACTACCATGCTACTTTATGCATTTGTAAATATTTCCTGGATGCTTCTCAAGTTCTCCCTTTGGATGGGAAATGTTTCAGCTGCCCATGATTCTAGGAATTACCCAGGATTGCACTAAAGGGAAAGCAGCTGAGTGCCGGTGTTGTGAAGCTCCTTTCCGAAAGAACTTTTTTTGCCCTGAATGATAGGTTTGGCTTGTTTTAGGGCTGGACACATTTAACAGTGAGTTTCTTGCAAAGCTATGATAGTCTCCAGTAGGCTCTTGATCTCCTCCCCTGTTAAGATAATCTGCTCAAGTTCTGGAATTGTCTCTGCTAAATACCTTGGTGACTCTCTAGGCAGGAGGAGGAACGCAGGCGCCGTGAGGAAGAGATGCGGCGGCAACAGGAAGAAATGATGCGGCGACAGCAGGAAGGATTCAAGGGAACATTCCCTGATGCGGTATATCTCCCATGTGCCCATGATGTATTAGGCCAGTCATGATACGACAAACCCACCATGAGTTGTCCACTAGGACTATAAAACATACCGGGTTATGACCAGTTTTTATATTCTGTGAAACGCCTTTTAGAAAGAATTTATAGGAAGAAAAGGTAAGGTTTGAAGGGGAGTTCTTGCCTCACAGGCAATTTAGGATGAAGAGCTAGGGCCAGTGTTAACACTTTTTGGACTCAGTGACTGCACGATGAGATATATCCAGTCCTATAGCAGCCTTAACTAGTTCTCTGATGTCCTCGGAGTTGTTGCACAGATTGAGGTCCTAGAAGAAGTCAGCTCTCTCCCCTTGCCTTTTACCTCTTCTGTTCCTAATAGGAGACTCTGACTTGTGTCCTTGTAGTCCTACCCTTGAATTCAACTGCACACCTAGCAAGGAGATGTTGGTTTTCCTCAGCTTGGCCTCAGTGTACTTGGGAGGAATGTGTTATCACTCTACTTGCTTCCCTTAATATGTGGTCCTCAATGTATTGCGAATGGTAGAATGCAGTGCTGTCTTGGACTGTTTGGAGTATTTCTTATTTTTCAGAGAGAACAGGAGATACGGATGGGCCAGATGGCTATGGGAGGTAAGAACTTAGGAGGTTAGTGGCTCTGATTTCCTTTTTTCTATCATTTCTGGTGGAACTATGTGGCTTCTCAGGCATAGTCCAGATTTAAGGGGCTGACATTTCTGGGAACATCGCTTTTTGGGGGGGGGGTAACACGTCCTTAGCTCAGAGGTCTTGTTGAATTGTTTTCTCTTGCGCAGAAAGAGACAGTCTCTGTCTCCTGTACTGATCACACTATTCTGCTTTAGGTGCTATGGGCATCAACAACAGAGGCGCCATGCCCCCTGCTCCAGTGCCAGCAGGTACCCCAGCTCCTCCAGGACCTGCCACTATGATGCCAGATGGAACCTTGGGATTGGTAATAAACTGCAGAGCTTTACAGTAATTCTAAATGGTGATAGGAGAAAGGACTTTGCTTTCAGTCCCTGTGCCTGCCACAATTTTGCTACAGATAATCGGGTTTTAGGGCCACTGTTTTCCATTAAATGTAACCTCAAGGTCTTGATTTTTGAATCTTGAACAAACCCAATCTCAAACTATACTTTGTCTAGGAGTTAAGTAAATGCCTTTGACTGGCCAGTCTGTTTAGTTGCTACCCTGGGTTAATGGAGGTAACAGGGGTTTGGTGGGTTTTGTTTGTTTGTTTGTTTTTGGAGGGAAGGCAATGAAGGTTAGGTATTATCACATAAAATAGATAGGAATCCAAAAGGCTTTATGGCTCATACAGTCCTGAGTTACAGTTCTAGTGTCAAAATTTTAAAACTGGGTGCGCTTAAGGTTGCTGAAGAGTGATGGCTTGTCCTTGTCACTATACTTAGTTCAGGAAAAGGGACTTAGGTGGAACTTAGTCTGGGAATTTACTATGTAATATTTAATGAGTAGGAATTGGGATAAGAAGATAAAGATAGGATAGTTGGGTGGGTCTGTAATTGAGATAGCCTTCTTTTCAGGGATATCCACTAGAGTTCTAAACAGGCTTAGTCTCCCCTAGCACATCAAGAGCTTTGAATAGTCGGTGGAAATGGCCTCCAGGGGCGGGATTACAAATGGGTGGGAAGCTTGGGACTTAGGTTCTACTGTAACATTGCTCTCTTTTTCTCTTTAAGACCCCACCAACAACTGAACGCTTTGGCCAAGCTGCTACAATGGAAGGAATTGGGGCAATTGGTGGAACCCCTCCTGCATTCAACCGTGCAGCTCCTGGAGCTGAATTTGCTCCAAACAAACGTCGCCGATACTAATAAAAATTTCAATGTCTAGTTTCCCAAAAACCCTTAAAAGAAGGACCCTTTTTGGACTAGCCAGAATTCTGCCCTGGAAAAGTGTTAGGGATTCCTCCCAATAGTTAGGTCTTCCTTGCCTGTACTACTCTGAGGGAGTTTGCTGGAGGCTGAGGGCAAGGGAGGGGCGATATTTAACAAATCAGTTCTGTGTGGTATATCGTTTAACTAATTGATTTTGTATGGTGCATTCCTGAAGTCTCATGTGATTGTTGAGGGCCTATGGGGGGGGGGGACCATGGCAAAATGGATCCAGTTAGAGCCCCCATTAATCTTGATCATTCCATTCTTTGTCCATCCTGTTCTATTTGGTTTCTCATTATACCCTCCAAACCCCAGAGACACTGCCACATACACCACAAAAACAAGCATCCCCCAATGACCTTAGCCCCATTGTTCCATTCACTCGCAGGTTTGAATTCAGGCAAATGTCCACAGAGGTCACAGACAACATACATACGGTTCTGTTATATCCCATATATTACCCCTTCATGTCCTAAGGAAGACATTTTCTCTTAGAGATTTTCATTTTAGTGTATCTTTAAAAAAAAATCTTGTGTTGAGTTGCCTCCCATCTTTTTTCTTGGGTTAGGACAACCCAGGAACGGCCCTTTTGTGTCTATGATGTTGCTGTTCACAGCTTTTCTTGATAGGCCTAGTACAATCTTGGGAACAGGGTTGCTGTGTGCTGAAGGTCGGACAGTAGCTCTTAGCCTTGCCTATCGTAGGTAGTTATGCTGTGCATTTTTTTTATTGGTGTACCATGTTTGATTTGTCCCTGATACCTTTGGAGTTTTTCTGAGAAATGGAGCAGTAATACAGCATCAACTTATTAAAATACGTTTTAAGCCTTTTAATTTTCTGTGCTATTTTTGAAAGGGAATGGAGGGAGGGGAGGTCTGTCTCGAGAGAAGCATAGGTTCGATAAGTATAATCCTTTATTACCTTTTGTCCAAAAGTATGAATTATCCATTTAGGCAAATTTGGGGAGGTTGGATGCATACTATGGCTTCTGTGGTTGACAAAGATTGGTGCTATTGGCGGTACACGGAAGCAATGAGGAGAGGAAAGCTGCTGCTTTGAAAGAGGAAGAAAATGAGCTGGAGGAACTGGGGTACCTTCATTGAGCTGGGAGGGGTCTCAAAATTGGGATTCATTTCTGAGCAGCTGCTGGTATGTCAGAGGCTTGGAATTGGCCTGGTAAATCTAAAACTGTCTCAGCAGTGGTTAGCTGACCTCACCCAAGTTCCAAGCCGTACTCTGCCTGATCCTTTTTTCTTGAGCCCCAGAGCTAAAATGCTCTTGAGCTCTCTCCTATTGGTTGAGAAGACCAGTTGAAGTTCCCTTGCCCATGTTAGGAGGTGTACGCCTCCTGAACTAAAGATAGAAACAGCTGGCCCTTGCAGACAGCTAAAAGCCTCCAGACTAAGAGGTGTTCCCCACTCGGCAGCCAGACTCCTTGAAATACCCTTTCAGTAATTCTACCAACGTTCTCCATGTCTCTACTCTGCCATAACAAAGGCTGTGGGCAGCACTTTGACCCCAATGCCAACCTTCCTGGTGAGTAACTAATTCTGACTTTGCCAGGGGGCTCTGTGAGTGCTGGGGGAGTGGTCAGCTGTGGGCAGTCTGTTAAAGGAGCAGAGAAATTTAGTGTGTCTGCCCTAGTTTAATTGGTCTGGGTGGTCTTCAATCTTATTTTTATATTCTAAAGAAAAACCATGAGCATATTAATCTGTGGAAGAAGTAAGAGAAGTGATACTTGGTATAGTTGCCTTTCCTTGATCCTTCTGCTGGTATCCACAGATTCCTGTTGCCATCACCCTGGGGTCCCAATCTTCCATGATGCACTTAAGGTGAGGAGTAGGCAAGAGGGGATAGCAAGAGCATTTCCCAAAGGAAATACACCCAGGAATCTAAGCTGAGCTGGGTCTTTTGTTATCAGGGTTGGTCCTGCTGCCGGAAGCGAACTGTAGATTTCTCTGAGTTCTTAAACATCAAGGTAAATTATTTACTTCCTTGGATTCTGTCCCTAATAGAAGGATTCTGTCCCTAAACCTTCTTTCCTTATCTGTACTAGGGCTGTACTGTGGGACCACACTGTGCTGAGAAGCTCCCTGAGGCTCCTCAACCTGAGGTGCCTGCCACAAGCAGTTCACTTCAGGAGCAAAAACCTCTGAATACGATTCCAAAGTCAGCAGAGACTTTGCGTCGGGAGAGGCCCAAGTAAAGAGGAGGAAGTCCCTGGGTTTTTCCTACATTCATGGAGCTTCCTAGAAGTGATTAATGGGTCACTGGGGCTTGGGGACTAGGGATAAGAGGAAGGCCAAGTGCCAGGGTTTCGTGTATATTTTATACCTTAGGGGAAATTTGTATCCAGAAATAATGTCTTTGCTTTAAGGTTGGTATGGGGGTGATGGGATAGGTATTTAAAGTCAATAGAGTAGATGGCCCCTCATAAATACGTAGTTATAATACAAGAGAGATTGTTGAGAATGACTTGATTTTTTTTTTCTTTTTGGAAAAAAGCTTTAAAATGAGTTTTACATCAAGAAAAAGATGCAGTATTGGCAGCCAAACGGCTGTAGAGAATAAATTAATTCTGTGGAAGTAGCATGAGCAACAGAAGAAAGTCACATTAGGTCCACAATTAGAAGAGGACAAGGATATGATGCAGTTCTGCAAAGAAATGTAGATTGAGAGTGACTGAGTAGATGAGCAAAAAAGCCCTAGGGATTTCCCCAGGGTTCAGGGACTTGGGATGTCCACAAAGAAGATAATTGGCAATGGAGTTGCTACCCAACTTTTCCAACCCTGCCCCCACTTTCACCAGATTTCTCTGACACCGTTACAACTGGTGGGAGTGTTGGAGCTAATGATCATGGTTAATGGGTCAGAACTAAATCACCCCACCCGTACCCCCTAGGTCAGAGTTGCCTCCAAAGCTGCTTCCCCTAAATATATCCCAAGCCCTGGAAATGGCATTGGAACAGAAGGAATTAGACCAGGAACCTGGAGCAGGTAAGTGGGTCCTTAGTAGGACAGGCTTTGCAGACTGGAATTTAGTGAAAGTGGCGATTAGGTGGAGGGAATAGATAGGTTCCTGACTCTGTTTCCTTTGCTCAGGACTTGACAGTAGTCTGATCCGGACTGGTTCCAGCTGCCAGAATCCAGGATGTGATGCTGTGAGTGAGAGCTTATAAGGGGTGCAAGCATGTGGCTGAGAGATGCTATACCTGGGATGACGGCATAGATATGAGGCTGTGTGGGGTATACTTTAGAGTGACCTGATTCATCTGATTCTCCTTTACCCATCTTAGGTTTACCAAGGCCCTGAGAGTGATGCTACTCCATGTACCTACCACCCAGGAGCACCTCGATTCCATGAGGGGTGAGAGAGGGGACTGGGTAGGGTCTATAAGACCGGTTTCTCCCACCGTTGATCATAATATGGGAGTGGGGGCTTATGGGGAGGGGAAAGGAGATTCATTTGAATTATCCTCCTACCTCAGGATGAAGTCTTGGAGCTGTTGTGGCATCCAGACCCTGGATTTTGGGGCATTCCTGGCACAGCCAGGATGCAGAGTTGGTAGGCATGACTGGGGGAAGCAGGTAAGCCCCAGCTTTCTTGAACTTTTAATTAGAACCCAATTCCAGAAATAATTTCCCCTCCTTGTACCTCATGGCCAAGCTCTCTATCTCTTCCCTTTTGTACAAACCAAATAAGATTCTGCTTATCCTCAACAGCCTGGAGGCTTTGCCATATGAAGTAGTATTAATCTTTCTGAGAGTCTGTGTCTCTTCTCTAGACACACCTGAGAACTTCCCTTGGGTGAAGAGTTCATTCTTACCACACACATTTCACATCCTCTCTTTAGCTGCCAGCATCTTGCCGTCATGATTGGCACCAGACGGATTCCTTAGTAGTGGTGACTGTATATGGCCAGATTCCACTTCCTGCGTTCAACTGGGTGAAGGCCAGTCAAACTGAGGTGAGGAATGTCTGATGCTGGTTGGGAGGCTGGTGAATTGGGTGATACTACAATTTTACAGGCAGAGTTGCTGTATGCAGCAAACATGTGGGCTCCATAGTCCCCTGAGAGGAAGAGCTAGCAGGTCAGGGCTATCTGGCTGACCTGTGGATATAGGGCTCACACCTCTGGCCTGGTTCTCTGTTGTAATAACTTGTTCTGACCTTCTAGGATTGTTACTACCCCTGTGATTCTTTTTTCTCAGCTCCATATCCACATTGTCTTTGATGGTAACCGTGTGTTCCAGGCACAGATGAAGCTCTGGGGGGTAAGTGAAGATAAGGGGCACAGGAGGGGGAGGAAGATGGGGTAAAAAGGACCAGACTGGAATGAATAGAGGGTGTCTTGAGGGAAGGAATTATAGTGGGAAAGTGGAGGTTTTCTCTTCATTTGCTTTGATATTCTTTCTCCCCCTTTCTCTTCCTTTTTTCTCTCTCCTCCTCCTTCTCCTTCTTTCCTCTTTCTCTCTTTGTTACTATATCATTTTGTTCCTCCCCTGTCTTGTTCTGCCCACCTTACATTTGTTTATTTTTCTTTGTCATTCATTACCACCCCACCCTGACCCTAATCCCTTTGATTTCCTCATTTTCTTCTTCTTGTGTTCCTCTATCTTTTCCTCCTCCTCAGGTCATAAACGTGGAGCAGAGCTCTGTCTCCTTGATGCCATCTCGGGTTGAAATCTCCTTGGTCAAGGCTGACCCAGGATCCTGGGCCCAGCTGGAGCACCCCGATGCACTAGCTGAGAAGGCTAAGGCAGAGGTTGGGTTAGAGATGGATGAGGAAGAATCTGAGGATTCAGATGATGATCTGAGCTGGACAGAGGAGGAGGAAGAGGAGGAAGCAATGAGGGAATAGTGACACCAGTCAAGTATCTAGATAGGACCTCAGTGGTTCCCTTAGAATCTCAGAGACCAGGATATGGTTGGCCATGTGGTGTCATTGAGCAGCAGCAGGCTGAAGGAGTGGAGAACAAAAGTGTCCAAACCATGCTGTTTTTTTCCCTGAAATAAATCTTGTATTCTGCAGTTTCACATAGTGTCGTTCTCTCACCTCACTATAAGATTGTCTTCATTCCCCCCAACTTCTGTGTGTCTTTAACACACGTGTGTGAAAACAAGCACATGTACATTCAATCTGTTCTTTACAATCACCAGGTAATCTACTCAGTACTTACTGTGTGCCCAGTTGTGTGTTAGGTGGTTTAGAGCTATCTTTTTTTTTTTTTAATATTCAATAAGAGCCATAACACTTTTTTTTAAATTTATTTTTTATTTTTTTCCCCAGTGATTCATCAGTCAGTTTAGAGCTATCTGAGAAACAGAAGACTTATTTATTCCTCTCAGGAAAATTGTAGTCTGGCTGACAGACTAATCTACATGAAATAATAATAAACATTATCATGTAGCTTAACTGAGTGTTAAATTGTGCAGTACAGCTATTAAGAGCTATAGGAGTTGAGAGAGAGTGGAATGATTAATGTGGACTATAGTAGAAAGGGAAACCTCCATGGAAGAACATTTTTTTTAACAGCTTTGTTGGGATACAATTCACATATCATACAATTCACCCATTTTAAAGTGTAAAATTCAGTGTTTTTTTAAGTATACTCAGAGTTGTGCAACCACAATAAATTTTCATCACTCCAAAAAGAAACCCTATACCCATTAGCAGTCAGTACCAGTGTCCCCCCAAACTCATAGCTGTGGGCAATCACTAATGTACTTTCTGCCTCTATGGATTTACCTGTTCTGGATATTTCATATGACTGGAATCGTATAATATGTGGGCTTTTGTAAGAGGCTTCTTTCACTTAGCATATGTTTTCACAGTTCCACCATTTTGTAATGTGTATCAGTACCTCATTCCTTTTATACCTGAATAATATTCCATTGTGCGGATATACCACATTATGTTTATTTCATCAATTGAGGTACCTTTGGGTTGTTTCCATTATTCTGAATAATGCTCCTATGAACATTTACATACAAGTTTTTATGTGGACTTTTCACTTCTCTTGGACATATACCTAGGAGTATAATTTCTGGGTCAAATGGTAACTTTAACCTTTTAAGAAACTGCCAGACTGTTTTCCAAAGAGGCTGTACCATTTTACATTCCCATCAGCAGTGTAAGGGTTCCAGTTTCTCCACATCCTCAATAACACTTGTTATTTGTCCTTTTTTATGGGTGTGAAGTGGAATTTCATTATGGTTTTAACTGCATTTCCCCAATGCTAATGATGTTGAGCATATTTTCATGTGCTTATTGGCCATTTGTGTTCTTATTTGGAGAAATGTCTATTCAAATCCTTTGCCCATTTGTTAACTTAGCTTGTCTTTTTATTGAGTGAGTTGTATGAATTTTTTTTTAAAGATTGTATTTATTTATTTGACAGAGAGAGACACAGCGAGAGAGGGAACACAAGCAGGGGGAGTGGGAGAGGGAGAAGCAGGCTTTCCGCTGAGCAGGGAGCCCGATGCGGGGCTCGATCCCAGGACCCTGGGACCATGACCCCAGCCGAAGGCAAACGCTTAATGACTGAGCCACCCAGGTGCCCCAGAGTTGTACTAATTTTTTTACTATATTCTGGAGACAAGTCTCTTGTCAGATATATAACTTGGAAATATTTTCTCCCATTCCGTGTTTTGTCTTGCTACTTCCTTGATGGTGTCCTTCGGTACACAAAAGTTTTTAACTTCTATGAAGTTATTTATATGAAGAATCTATCTTTTCTTTGGTTGCTTATATTTTTGATGTCATAGCCAAAAAAAACCATTGCTTTATTCAAGGTCATGAAGAAGATTCGCTCCTATGTTTTCGAAGGGATTTATAGTTTTACATTTAGGTCTTTGATCCATTTTGAGTTATTTCTTACATGTGGCATGACGTAGGATTCCAACTTTATGTTTTTGCATATGGATATCTAGTTGTCCCAGCACCATTTGTTGAGAAGGCTATTCTGTCCCCATTGGATTGTCTTAGCACCCTAGTTGAAAATCAATTGACCAAAAATGTAAGGGGTAAGAGACACATTTTCAATGGAAATTTGTTGGAATGAGAAATTTGGATGGGTATGGAAGAGTGGGAAGAGCCAAGCTGAGGCTGGAAGGTGTTTTGTTTTATTTTTTGTGTTTTATTTTAAATTCCAGAAGTAATACATTGTCACTGTAAAATACTCAATGCAGAAGTATGTAGAGTAAAAAGTAAATGTTCTTCTTAAGACTTTTTCCAAGCTTAGTCCCTTTGCTGTTTGTAACCACTGCTAACATATCAGACAGAGGATGTGTTTAAGGGAGGGAACAAAAAAATTAGTTGAGTGTAGCTAGATTGGGAGGAGGCTAAAATCCTAGATGAAGGATTTTGAACATGATTTAAAAGAGAGTTAGAATTAAACTTTATCTCTGAAACTCATAGCATACTATATTGAATTTAAATAAAATAAAATTTAAGGGGCGCCTGGGTGGCTCAGTTGGTTAAGCGACTGCCTTTGGCTCGGGTCATGATCCCAGGGTCCTGGGATCGAGCCCCGCATCGGGCTCCCTGCTTGGTGGAAAACCTGCTTCTCCCTCTCCCACTCCCCCTGCTTGTGTTCCCTCTCTCGCTGTCTCTCTCTCTCTGTTAAATAAATAAATAAAATCTTTAAATAAAATAAAATTTAAAAAAGAGAGAAAGGCAGTGTAGGCCCTTTAAAAATGTAGATTCTTTTTTTAAAAGATTTTTTATTTACTCATTTGAGAAAGAGTGAGCATGAGCAATAGCATGAGCAGGGGTAGAGACAAAGAGAGAGAGGGAGAAGCAGACTCCCAGCTTAGCAGGGAGCCCAATGCAGGGCTCAATCCCAATGACCTGAGCCAAAGGCAGACGTTTATTTTATTTTTTTTAAAGATGTTATTTATTTATTTGACAGAGAGAGACACAGCGAGAGAGGGAACACA